CTACCCGCAGAAATCCTTTGGATATCTCTTCTATAGACCGAGTGACAATGTTGTCTTCGTTGCGAGGAGAAAGGTTTTCCGAGAGCGATAACTCATAAGCCAAGGAGACAGTGGGAGGCAAATAGATCTTGAAGAGCATCAAGAGTCGAGCGATGAAGGAACCTCTAACACTGGCGCTCAACCCGAGGAGGAAACTCCGGTTGAACCAATTAACGAGTCCTTACCTCTTAGACGTTCCGAAAGGGTTAGTGTTCCACCCCAGTTTTATGGTTTTCATATTACTACACAAGGGGATACGTTCATTAGTGATAGTACACTAGTCAATCTGGACGAACCTAACAACTATAAGGAAGCCATGGCAGGCCCGGAGTCTGCGAAATGGAAAGAGGCTATGGACAGCGAGATTCAGTCCATGTATGACAACCAAGTTTGGAATTTGGTTGACAATGTACCAGGTCGTAAGACGGTCGGGTGCAAGTGGATCTTCAAAAAGAAGATCGACGTGGATGGAAATGTGCACATTTATAAGGTGCGATTAGTTGCGAAGGGTTTCACTCAAAATCCTGGAGTTGACTACGATGAAACCTTCTCACCAGTTGCGAAGATAAAGTCTATCAGGGTGATGCTGGCCATTGCTGCATTTCATGACTATGAAATATGGCAAATGGATGTCAAAACCGCTTTCCTTAATGGGAAGTTGGCTGAGGATGTTTACATGGCTAAGCCAGAGGGTTTTGTCAATGAGAAGCATCCCAATAGAGTGTGTAAGCTTGAGAAGCCCATTTATGGACTTAAGCAAGCGTCTCGCAGATGGAATCTTTGTTTTGATGAGAAGGTCAAAATGTTTGGTTTTCTGCGAAGCGAAGATGAATCATGTGTATATGTCAAATCCAGTGGGAGTATAGTAAGCTTCCTCATATTGTATGTCGATGACATACTACTCATAGGAAACGACATCCCGACACTGCAGGAAGTTAAGTCCTGGCTCGGGAAGTGCTTCGCTATGAAGGACCTCGGAGAGGCTGCCTATATTCTGGGAATAAGGATAGTGAGAAACAGAAGTAAGAGACTAATAGGACTTAGTCAGAATACTTACTTGGATAAGGTACTAAAACGTTTTAGTATGGAGAACTCAAAGAAAGGGGAGTTACCAATCCAAAGTAATGCCAAGTTTAGTAAGACTCAGAGTCCGAGTACTGAAGTCGAGATAGCAGAGATGAGCCGAGTACCTTACGCTTCCGCAGTTGGCTCGATCATGTATGCTATGACTTGTACTCGCCCTGATGTGGCCTTCGATTTGAGCATGGTCAACAGATATCAAGGGAACCCTGGCAAAGCGCATTGGACAGCAGTCAAGAATATTCTTAAGTACCTTCGGAGGACCAAGGAATGGTTTCTAATCCTCGGTGGGAGTGATGACTTAAAAGTGCGAGGGTATAGTGACGCCAGTTTTCAGACCGACAGGGACAACTACCGTTCGCAGTCGGGCTGGGTCTTTACCCTTAATGGAGGTGCAGTGACTTGGAAAAGTTCCAAACAGGAGACCGTAGCTGATTCAACGTGCGAATCAGAGTATATAGCGACGAGCGAAGCGTCAAAGGAGGCGATATGGTTGAAGAACTTCATCGGAGACCTTGGAGTTGTGCCGACCATACAAGAGCCTATGGAAATTTTTTGTGATAATGAAGGAGCGGTTGCCTTGACCAAGGAACCAAGGAACCAATGGATCATGGTAGATCTCGACATATCGACAGAAAATATCACTTTATTCGACATCGGGTGAAAGAAGGACGTCTCGTAGTTTAGATTAGATAACCCAGCAGATCCCCTTACGAAGGGGTTGAGTAGGGTTAAGCACTTGCAGCACGCTAGGAGCATAAGGCTGAAGGACGATATTAGTTTAGATTAGATAGCTTAGAAACGTGTAATAGATAAATGTAATTAACATTTGATGATTAAATAAATGAGTATTATTTATGAGTAAAGTTACTGTCTTATGTTGATTGTTTACCTATTGTTTCATTTTGCATGTTTTGACTTCCTGAGTAATGAGATTATTCAAACCGTCCACAGTCATTCATATGTTGGAAGTAGGTATGAATGAAGACTGTCATGAATTGGTGTGTAGATTGTCTAAAGTGTATTAGACATAGCAAAAGGTTGCTACAACGTTCATGAGTGCTTATGAACAAGTTTTGAGCATTGTAATAAACCCACGCTTGCTGGAATCACTTCATGGAATTCATCACGAGTGATCGCAAGACGATAATATCATATGGTCTTAAAACCTAGATATATGGTTTATTGTTTGCTAATTGGTTGTGCATTGATAATGCGTAAACGCATCAGTAACTTGATGTTATAAAACGCATTGTTGTGTATGATTTGATTAGTGGATAGTAAATGCATATAAGTCGAAGTTTATCTGTTCCTTTTATCCTAAGAGGGTAAAAGCGATATCAGGGCCCCTCGATGATTTGATTTGACTTATGTGTCGGGCCCGGTCAGGACTGAATTAACGTGTTCAATTAAGTTCTATGTCAAATGAATCTGAGATCGAGAAACTAACTGCTGGACAATAAGTATGACTATGTTCCATGTATTTGTCCACACGATATCTAGAACAGAGGATTATATGATCCCTTATCTAAAGGATAGGTTACTGATAAGATCAGAGTTCGACAACGTCTTTGAGAGCTACGATTGCTAATCAGATAGTGCTTGCATTTGTAGTTACTAGACTTATCCAAGTGGGAGACTGTTGGATTAGTGTCTAAGCCCATAACTATATTTGGTAAGTACTTGACCCGGTTGTGCATGGTCCTTTTGGGTTGCCTTCACCATAGCAACTTGATAGGGTAATTTATGGAGAGAGAGAAGATATTATGAGAATAATATATTAAAGGAATAATCATATTATTTAATTAATATTAGTCATAAATTAATTGAGAATTAATTTGGTGACTAAAAGAGATTAATTGAATAAAGGGGCTTAAACTGTCAAATGTGTGATAGTTGTATTTTGGGCTGGGAAACCTAATGGTTTAAAGGGGTGAACGAAATTATGATGGGAGCCCATCATATTTTCGTCCATGGCCTGTATTCCAGAAGGTTCCATGGGCTGCTTGGTGATTAAGTTGTCTATTAGGGTTTTAACTGAAACCCTAACTGCTCACAGTGTAAATAGGACCCTTGGGATATGATTTTCGGCCACTTGTTCTCTTGGAAACCCTAGAGCCGAAAATCATAAGTCCTCACCCTCTCTCATATTGCCCTCTTGCTAGTTGGTGTTTGTAAGCCATTAGAGGAGTGACACCTGTGACTCTAAGCATCAAAGACAAGAAGAATCAAGCAAGCAAACAAGAGGTAATATTCTAGATCTGATTTGTTTCTTATAATTTCGAATTATACCATTAGATCTAGGGTTTATAAGTCTTGGATGATTGCATGTACAGTTAGTGAAACCTAGATCCAAGCATTAGGGTTTGCATGTGCACACAGGAAAGTTCTTATGGCTCAAACCCATCAATAACCGCAGACGCATCAGATGAGTATCTGAAAATGTCTGAGAGGACGGGTCGAGAGTGTACATATCTTTTCTGTGAGTATGTTATTGAGCTTTACCATGACATATACTTGCGACATTCGACTAAAAGTGATGTCGAACAGTTGTATGCCGCGCATCAAGCTAAACATGGTTTTCCAGGGATGCTTGGTAGTACTGATTGTACACATTGGGAGTGGGAAAATTGTCCCAATGCGTGGCGTGGTCAATTCACGCGAGGAGATCATGGGGTCCCGACTGTTATATTGGAGGCGGTTGTATCACATGACCTATGGTTTTGGCATGCATTCTTTGGTATGGCGGGGTCCAACAATGACCTGAATGTGCTTCAAGCGTCTCCGTTATTTAACAATATTTTGTAGGGTAAAGCACCAGACATGTCATATGTAGTGAATGGAACTGAATATAAGTATGAGTATTACCTAGGTGATGAGATATATCCAGAGTATGCTACATTTGTCAAGTCGTATTCGTTTCCAGCCAATGAAAAAAGAAAATTGTTCAAGTTAGCATAGGAATCTGCACGGAAGGACGTGGAACGAGCGTTTGGAGTCCTAAAGCAAAGGTGGCATATAATCAAGCATCCGACACGAACATGGGATAGGGAAAAACTAACAACGGTGTTGACTGCTTGTGTTATTTTACATAACATGATAATAGAAGAAGAGGGCGGGGCTATATGTTCATATAATGAGAACGATATACTTAATCCACCTGCAGTGATACAAGTTGGCAGCCCGACATACTTCTCTAGAGTTTTGGAAATTCAAAATCGTGAAACACATCACAATCTACGTCACGATTTGACCGAGCACATATGAGGGAGACAACCAGAAGGGGGATATAACGATGAAGACAAAGAGGATGAGGACGATTATGACGAGACAAATGCAGAAGGTGACGACGAGGCGGGTGAGGGTGATGAAGTCGGTGACGACGACGAGTAGTAATTATCTATGGGTTTTATGTTTTATGTGTTTTTTATTTTTTAATTAAGTAGTGTAATGTTTGATTTGTTATGTTTTATGTTTGTTTTAGTAATTTAGGTTTTAAATATATGTTTTTAATTAATGAAATGTGGTTTTATTTTTTCGTGTTTTCAAACAACTTATTTGTGTTAAGAATTAATATTTTTTTATTTATTACAATGTTACGACAATAAAAAAAAATAAAAAAAAACTAAGTATGTTATAAATTTTGTTTTTTATTTAATATAATGTTAAAAAAAAATTTATGTATGTTATAAATTATGTTTTTTATTTAATATAAATGTTACAAAAAATAAAAATAAATAAAAAATAAATATTGTTAGTGGTGACCATTTTTAAGGTGAAGTTGATTGATGATGAAGCTGATGTAACGCAAGGTGACACCACTTTTCCGGTGGGTGGCGGTGAACTCGGTTAGCCTAACCCAATTTCTATGAAAGAGATGAATGTACAGTAAAGTACACGAACACGGAATAGGACCCAGGAATATTAAAATACACGTAAGGAACAGAGAATCCAAACCCGGATTTGGTTGCATGAACTTAATCGGATTGCACAAGGGCCTACACGTCCGTTCAACTTTGTAATTGGACTAAGGATTATCGATTTAATTTTCCGACCTCGATTATCAATCAAAACAGGGAAATCGGTGAGAGAGAAAAGTGAAGTCGGCGGCGTAAGGTTCCGAGTTCACCGAATACTCTGAAAACCTCCGATTTCTCCGATCATCGTTTCCATTCGTGCCCTAACTTTATTCATCATGTAAGTCGCCCTAATCTCTTTTCGATTGTAGGTGGAATGGAACACTTTTGATCTTGTTATTCTGGAATTGTTTGTTTTCTAATACGTTTGCAAGGTGTTTAATTGCGTCTTCTGTTTGAACATTTTCCATTAGATCGGTCGTCGATTTTGGGGAAGGAGATGAGCTGTTTTTATCGGTTTGATTGCTGCTGATTGATTAGGTGCAATCTATTTATTCAGATAAAGATGGATTTGGTAACGAGTTGTAAGGTATTGTTTCAATTATGTCTGTTCCTAATGGTTATTTAGGTTTTTCTGGTTTCAATGTCAATGGGTGTTCTCTGTGGTTGTTCCTGTTGTTTTACAATTAGTGTCAACTTTGTAGATGGTGAAGATTATGGATTTATGAGAAAACTTTGAATGGTGCAAATATCTTTTTGTTAACTTGTTGTTGTTTTATAGGAAAAATTGACACATTTTCGTATAAAAGAGCTTAAAGATATTCTTACTCAACTTGGGCTTTCCAAACAGGGAAAGAAACAGGTTCAGTGTTCAACTAGTGCATTTTCATAATTTATATCTTCTTCAATATTCAGTTGGCTTCTTATAAGTTACAAGGAAACAAAATTCTTCATTCTTAAATTCTTTTTATTGCTTCTAGGATCTTGCTGACCGGATATTAGCTATTATATCAGATGACAGAGGTAAATGGTACTTCCTCTATCAAATATTTATTTATCATGTATTGGTGTTCCTGTAGTCACTTGCTTCTTTTCTTCATTATTATAAATACTTTGTGTTTTTTAACCTAACCAACATTGCATTACAATGCGATTTGGAGCAGTTTCTGGGATATGGGCTAAGAAAAGTGTCGTTAGGAAAGAAGAAGTGGCAAAACTAGTTGATGACATGTACAGGTGTTTATCTTTTTCATATTTAGTTATATAAAAATGTTATATTTTATACATACAATTCCTGTAGCCTTCAGTTTATCTTGACACATAATTACTCTTTTGTCCCCAGAAAGCTGCAGATCCCAGGGGCAACTGAATTGGCATCAAAAGGTCAGGGTGTTTCAGACGTCACCATTAATAATAATAACACAACATTCAAGGAGGAAGTTGAAGATAGTTATCAGAGTGAAAAAGTTCGATGTCCATGTGGAACTTCACTGCAAGCAGATTCAATGATAAAGGTTTTTACTTTTTATCAGCCTATCCCTTCTCCTTTATATGTTTTTATTGCCCACATGTCTCTGTTCTTGACTCTTGCTTTAGATTTAAGTAAATAACCCTTAGTTCTCATATTGTTAGATAAAGCCCCTTGAAGTTGTTTATGGTTAATTGGTTATTACTTATTACACTTTGTTATAACTATCCATGATTTTACATGAGATACATCCATTAATGTTTCAGTATTTCTTTCTTTTCTAACACAAGAATCTCTATATGCTAATAATCTTGAAATTTTTCACTTTTCATCTCAGTGTGAAGATAAAAAATGCAACGTGTGGCAACATATTGCTTGTGTTATTATTCCTGAAAAGCCAATGGAGGGTATTCTACCACCTCCTCCTCCAGTTTTCTATTGTGAAATCTGTAGACTTGGACGTGCAGATCCGTAAGTTTACTCTATAAAATTATATATTTTTTTTCTTAAATTCCTTGTAATGTATACAAACTATATAAAATAATTCATCTTCTGTTTAAAACTTGGTTTAATTTTTTAAAAACTTTATATGCAGATTCTGGGTAACCATGGGACATCCTTTATATCCTGTGAAGCTGAGTATTGCAAATGTCCCTACAGATGGGTTAGTCTATAACCTTTTAACTCTATATTATCTTTTTTTATTTTATATAGTTTTGCATGCTCTTATAGATATCAGACACTGATTTAAATAAAATTTTCAGTACAAATCCAGTACAGAGTGTTGAAAAAACTTTTCAGCTTACAAAAGCTGACCGGGATTTGTTGGCAAAACCTGAGTTTGAACTTCAGGTTTGAATTTTGATGTTTAATTAATTACAGCAAAAAAAGAATGTTAATAACATGGTGATGATCACAAAATATAGGCTTGGTGTATGCTTTTGAATGACAAGGTTTCTTTTCGGATGCAATGGCCACAATATGCAGATTTACAAATCAATGGTATGATTATATTTACTTTATAAATTATTATTATTATTTGACTTACAATGTTCATTGTGTGCTTTTAGGTATGCCTGTGCGAGCTCTCAATAGACCTGGCTCCCAACTTCTTGGAGCCAATGGACGTGATGATGGCCCACTTGTAAGTTTTAATCAATTTTCTATTTTCTATATTTTTAATTTTTTTTTATATTAATAAGTTTTTTCTTTTCTTCAGATCATGCCATACACCCGTGATGGAAGCAACAAAATTTCCTTGACAGGCGTTGATGCTCGAGTCTTCTGTTTGGGTGTCAGAATCATGAAACGCCGCACAGTTCAACAGGTGAGAGGGCAAAATCGTCTTTTTCAACATATAATACATGAATATATATATTTATTTAATTTGTAAATTGTAATATTGTTATTGTTTGTACCAAAAAAGATTATGAATATGATTCCCAAAGAATCTGATGGTGAGAGATTTGAAGACGCGGTTGCACGCGTTTGTCGCTGTGTTGGCGGTGGGCCCGCTGCAGAAAACGCAGACAGCAACAGTGATTTGGAGGTTGTTGCCGATTCTATACCCGTTAATCTCCGCTGCCCAGTAAGTAATTTTTTTTTTCTTTTATCTTTTTTTTTTTTTAATTTTATAATTATATAAAATCCATCAACATTATCTGACATGTCATGCACGCTACAGATGAGTGGTTCAAGAATGAAAATTGCTGGAAGATTCAAACCTTGTGCTCACATGGGCTGCTTTGATCTTGATGTATTTGTACAAATGAATCAACGTTCACGAAAGGCAAACATTATATATATTATATACAAACATTAGTTATTATTTTTTATTTTATTATTATATAATCGTTTTCACTCTCGTTTATATAGTGGCAATGCCCCATTTGTCTCAAGAACTACTCCTTGGAGAATGTAATTATTGATCCATATTTCACTCGTATCACAACCAAGGTAGAGAGAGTATCATTTCGATATATCTTTTTTCTCCTTTTCGATATTTTTTCTTAATTATTTTTTAATTTTTTGATAAAGATGAGGAACTGTGGAGAAGACGTGACAGAAGTTGAAGTGAAACCAGATGGATGTTGGCGTGTAAAGGCAGAAAAAGATATAAAAAATTTAGGGGAACTTTCACAATGGCATTCACCCGATGGAACTCTCTGTATTCCAATGGAAGCAGAATCCAAACCAAAACCAAAACCAAAACCAGAAGCTTTAAAACAAGTCAAACAAGAAGGCGTTTCAGAAGGTCATACAAGTCTAAAACTCGGGATTAAAAAAAACCGAAACGGAATTTGGGAAGTCAGTAAACCAGAAAATCCACTTTCTCTTTCTTCAGGGAATAAACAACCCGAAAACTTAAATGGTATTATCCACTCTGGTATTCCCATGAGCAGTAGCGCTACTGGAAACGGTAGAAACAGTGAAGATCCTAGTATTAATCAGTCCACTGGAGGAGGAGGGCATTTTGGTCATTCCACCACCAACGGATCCCTTTCACCAAACTACGGATTCAATTTCAATCCGTCTTTCACAGACGTTATTGTTCTCAGTGATTCAGAAGAAGAGACTGAACCTGAACCTGAACCGGTTTATAAAAACAAAAACAACGGAGTTTCCTTTTCTACCCCTCTTCCAAATCCAGATGATCCGAGTCTTATACCTGGTGGGAGTTCATGTCTTGGGCTTTTTAACACCAATGAAGATGATTTCGGGGTACCCTTTTGGTCATTACCTTCCACTAGTCAAGTGGGGCCTAGCTTTCAGTTATTTGGTTCAGATGAAAACCAAATGGACCCCATGGGTTCTGTTCCTTTACTTCCCGAATCCTCAATTTACCAAAATACCCTCGACATAAACGATGGTTTGGTTGATAACCCGTTAGCGTATGGACACGATGATCCGTCGCTTCAGCTCTTTCTTCCGACGAGACAAGCTGACGTGGCGGCGGAGCAGGCGGAGTTACGCGATCCGCCGTCTGTGTCAAATGGTTTGCAGGGTGACGATTGGATTTCTCTCAGCCTCGGCAGCGGTGGCGGTGGTGGTGGTGGTGGCGGTGGAGTTGGCGGCAGTGGGGTGAATTTTGAAAGTAGCGCCGCGAACGGGTTGAACTCCGGTCTGCAACCGCCGCGTGGAGATGGTGGTTTGGATTCGCTGGCGGATACGGGTATTGTTTGTTTTTAGATATATGTATAAAATATTTATAATATATGTTTTTTTTTAATGTGATGGATTTTGTTTACAGCTTCTTTGCTTACTGGAATGAATGGAAGTAGCAAAAGAGAAAGATCTGATAACCCTTTCTCGTTTCCTAAGCAAAAGCGTTCTGTAAGACCAAGATTGTATTTATCAATTGAATCAGACTCTGAAGAAGAGAGATAAACATAAAAAAGAAAGTGGTTTGAAAATTTCAATTTCAATTTCAATTGAAACAAATACCACTTTTTGATTGTTTTTTTTTTCTCCTTCACAATTTTTGACCTTTAGAAGAACACTAGGTACAAGGTAGAGAGCACTTCCAGACCCTCATTTGGTGAGTTTTGTTTTTTTTTTTTTGAAATTTTTATGTAAAAATAGTTGATAGTATTGATTGCTAATGGTGGGTTTTGGATGTATAACAGGTGTGGTATAATATAATAGATTCTTTGTGATCAACTGACTTGTACAAGAGAAGCGTATTTGGTGGTATAGCAATTAGCAATAGCATGTTTTGGTAGGAAGGAGTAGCTTGTAAATGTCATTTGCTCACAAAACTTATCTTTTACTTATTTAATACAACAAGCAAGCATCTGGAGTTATTATAAGTTGATTGATTCTATACCCCATGCCACTTTCTCCTTGTATGTCACCCAAAATATAATATAAATATGACTCTTTTCATCTCTATGATCACCATTATAACTCAAGAATCGTGATTTTTTTGGAACAATCCGAAAAAAAGATTATCCAAATCAATGTATTAGTAGGCGTGAAATTAGAAGTAGGTTGAAAAAATGAAATAGAAATACCAATATCGGCTACTGGTGATGAAAATGATATTGTATTGGAGGGTGTTATTTTGTTGTAGAATCCTTGGAGAAAAATCTGTTATAATTGATCAAGCATCACAAACTACATGAAATTAGGTATCTAATCTAACAAGTAAATGTAAATTAGAAATTGAAAATTTTACAATTCATAAATTAAGTTAATAATGTAACTATTACATCATAAAATTAGAATTTTATATAATATTAAAATACAAAATTTGAAACTTAGCTTAGAAATTTGCCTAGAGAGAAGAATAGAATACTTTTCCTTTTGATGTGTGGATGTATTTATGTTTGTCTTTGTTGGCTTGGAGTTGGTGATGTGGGGCAGAACGAAGAGCAAGATGTCAATCTTTCTTTTTATAGGTTTAGCGACTTGTATGTTCTAGTCCATCTGTGAACGAAGAAAAAGATGAAATCACAGATGGGAAGTGAAATCACAGATGGACTAGTCCATCTGTGAACGTACAAGTCGCTAAAGCACGAATGTGCTTTAGCGACTTGTATGTTCGCAGATGACTTGGTGAAATCGCAGATGGGCTTAATCGATCTGCGATTTTGATGGTTATTTTTGTAATATGAGTTTTTTTTGGCTATTTTTTTACAAAGTAATTAACGGTTTTGGTTAAATTTGTAAATTTCTCTTTAATTAATCACTAAGTTCATGGCAAAAGATATCTTTTTTTTTCGTTCGTTATTTGTTTTTGCCAAATTGGACTTCGTTTTGGTTTCTTGAATTGTGACGGTTATTTTTCGATTAAATTTATTTATTTTAATAGATAGTTTAACTTTTTGTTTGTAATTTTTTTATTAAGTAATTGTAAAATTAAGAAAAGCGTAAAAATACAAACCTTAAAGGCATTGGACTAGAAACCTTAAGAACATCATAGACCCAATGGAAGCAACCACATCAAGCAGCCCAACAGACCAATCATCCAATGACGCACCGTATCCAACATAATCTTATTCTAGGAGTTTGGCGGAAAAAAAGAATATACCAATTATTAATTAATATTAACATGTAGTACATTAGTATTTTATGAATCTACTTGAGCGCTTTAATGAGCATAGAATGCATAACTCCATCATCTCAGTACCAAACATAACACTCGAAATAATACCCTTTTAAGCTCTAACCCTTATAAACGAAGGTATCAATCTAGAGGATACCATACCCATTCTCCATCAACTTACTATAAGTGAATTACTACCAATTACATGATAAATATATATAATAGGTTCTTCCCTTTTTAGGGTATACATGGTTTCACATAATAATTGAATAGAGTTACCTTGAGATAAGGTTGGATAATGTTCACATCCTTAAGCTCTCTTAAGAGTATCCAAACATGTTAAGTACAAATTCAAGATACTAATTATCAATATAACACCTTGATTAACACTTAACCAAGTGCCCCTTAACTAGTATCATTCTTATGTGCAAGCTCAAATCAATCATAACATTAACAACTTCAATTAGCATCCTTAACAACAATAGCATCATTTTAAAAGATATAAATTTCCTCACTCAACCTAGGGTTTCAACTTTCAAGTCCTTTAAGAGCTATTATGGATCTATCACATCCATACATTTCATAAGCTAATTTTCAAGCCAATACACCATAAATTACATATCAAGATCATTTACCACAAGGTGTGATGATGTATGATCATCAATATAATTTTTCAAAAAACCTCAATTATCCTAATTTTATCATCTTTAGAATATGAGACGTAACTTACTTTATATAACCATTAAAAGGAAATTGTAAGTGTATATCAATCCTTAACTTCAACAATATACAACTTTCAGTTTTCCAACATCAATAGTTGCAATAACAAGTTTTAATTCTACACAAGTTCTACAACACCTTTCAAAGAGAAAATTCATCACCTTGATGTTGAATAAATGTGATTAACACTTGTTAACACATTGATTAATCATTCAATAAATAGGCTTGGTTGAAATTTTTTACCCTCAAAGAGTCAAAGTCTCCTCCATTCAGCTTTAATCAAAATGAGAGGAAAGGACCCAAAATGAATATTTATACACTTAAATGCCACCTAGAAGTCATAAATGTGATATTCCCAATTTCACAGTCAGAAAAGACCGATTTGTTTATGCTTATTTAAAAATCAGAATATCTTTTTTTGAAGAATAATATTGCGGAATTTGTTCCTAGAAAAACATGATAATGATATTATCAAAACATTTTTGAAGAAATGTATTTTATTTATATTAAAACATTGAGATGTCATCGTCAATACAGAAATATAAGCATAATGAAATATTACAAACCTTACAGTAATTAAACTAGTGACCTAATACTCCTTGAATCTCTCAGCAGAATATATCTTTCATATAGCCACGTATGATACAATAAACTGAGTGGGTCGGGTTGGGAAACCTGGTGAGTACATAGGGTTTTCAACCAACAATAATATAATTATTATGTTTAATAATCAAACAATTAACCCAATTTCCCATCCCTATTATCTTCTTTATTCTTAAGGATCTTCCCTAAGAATCATCTATTCTTCATTTATTCATTCCTAAGGATTGTCCTAAAGAATAAGCACAAAGTCCATCGCTTCCAGGGTTTATCTAACAGGCACTAAGTCCATAGCTGCCGATGTTATCTATTAGGCACAATTGGCAATGTTATCTATTAGGCACAACTGCCAAGGTTCATTTATAAGGCACAACTGCCAAGGTTTTTTAGAGTACATATGGTGAACACATGGTTCAAAAACACCTACAGGTTGCGAGTCTGCTAGCGTTCCATATTACTTTCTAGAATCGTCTATGGTTGTCATCTATACTCTACTAGATGACTGGATCATCGTTAAAGTCAAGGCTTCTCATCATCTTTCACCTCTCAACATCTATATCATCTTTCATCTCTCATCATCCGTATCATCTTTCATCTACCCATCTTTACCCAATATATTTATAGATATAAAAATACATATACAGTTTAAATCAAGTACAACATGTATAAATCGTTCATCTAGCATAAATATCAGGAACACATATAATAAGCACATATAACATGTCTTAATATTAAATACTTCATATCTATGTGTAAGATGAAAGTAACTATGCACTCACTTGTTAAAGTGATGACTCAAAATTCAGACAGCGCTTCGCTTCTAGAAATTGTCTTTTCCTTTGATGAAACCTAGTATCATTATCACTAAGTTTCAGTCTATTATTTATTGCAAATAATTATTAGTCTAGATTCATCATTATCTAAAAGTCTAGTTCAAGATCTATCAAGTAAGGAACAACCATGTATGATCATATTGGAGGTAGGGTCCGTTTGGTATACGAAGTATACTATTTGGAAATCCCACTTTAAACACCTCACTAAATCGGTAGTAAATCCAACCTAGACATTATCCCCGTAAGTAGATCAATCAGTATAACGATTTGGAATCACTGATAAATCTTGTTTATAGGTTCATAATAACGATAATGAACATAAACATAAGTTATACTTAAAGTACAGTAAGTATAACTTAACTTACATATGGTTTAGCGAGAAACCGGACTCTGCGCGGACAAAACTTATGAGCCAAAAGCTCTTCTTCTCGGGGCTTTCCGGTGCTCTGGGCTTTGCTAATAACACCTAGGAGGTGCTAGATAAAATCTTAGAGGCTTTGGGGGTGTTTGGGAGAGAGTTGGTTGAAGAAATGTGAAGAAAAGAGTGAAAAACGTCATCTATTTATAGGCTGGAAGGTGCTACGTACGCCGGGCGTACTCCAGCATTACGTTGAGCGTTCAACAATAACTGGACGTACGCGTGCTACGTGTCACGATCAGGTGCTAAGTCGTGGGGAAGAAGGTGTGGCCTGGATCTTGCCACGTGTCACTACAGGGTTAATTCGAAAATTAATTATCTTTTAAAATCCGTAACTTTTGCATATGAGCTCCGTTTTTGACGTTATTTATATCCACGCGTAGGTATCGACGTGGTCTACAACTTTCATTTAGACTCCATCGGCTAATTTTGAATTTATTTTTAAAGTTATATTTTAACAGACTTAGACAGTTAAAGTCCGTTAAAAATTCATAACTTTGTCATCCGACGTCCTTTTTCGACTGTCTTTATATCATTGAGCTCCTATTAAGAAGATTTTCAATTCTCGTTTAGGTTGTGTTGGCTAATAATAGATCGATCTAAAATTCAATTTCCGAGTTGTATACTGCTACACTGAATCTTAGAAAAATCATAACTTCCTCTAACAAAGTCAGATTTGGATGTTCTCTATATGCACGCTCTCGGTTTAACGTCTACTATGACTTTTGTTTAGATCTCTAAGGCTAAAAGTATTTTGTCAAAAATTTACATTTTATGATACGCGGAGCCGTGCCAGTTTAATCGCAAAACTTCGACGGGTCATAACTTCTTCGTTATAAGTCGGATTTCAGCATTCTTTATATGTACGAAATCCTTGTGAAATATACTATAACTTTGGTTAAGATTATTTATCACAAATAATATTTTATCAAAAAGTTATTTTTAACGCTTATTATCTCTAAATTGACTAGCCCGAATCTGCGGGCGTTACAATTATCTCCTCCTTAGGATGATTACGTCTTGGAATCATCAACAAAATAAGGCTTGTATAATGAATCCATATGTTATATTTTCATCCTAGGTAATAATCGTCACTCTTTTGTCCTTTCAAATGAGCATCTCTTAGAGTTCTTGACTGTTGGCGGTGCTCAATCTTGCATCTGCTCTTCGTACTATGTTGGACTTTCAATCGTAACCTTCAAGTTACAAACTCGATCCTTACGGGAGACTCCTGTCCT